CCACCGCAGCCTCGACCTGCTGGGCTCTGGCGATCCTTCCGCCTCCGCCTTCCAAGTTGCTGGAACTACAGGTGCGTGCTACAATGTCCGGCTAATTTTTTTGATTTATTGTAGAGATGAGGTCTCGACAAGTTGCCCAGGCGGGTCTCGAACCTGCGGGCTCAAGCAATTCCCTCACCTCGGCCTCCCAAAGCACGGGATTACAGGCTGAGCCACCGAGCCCGGTCCTACCTCAGCCTTTCAAGTAGCTGGAACTACAGGTGTGCACCACCACGCCCGGTTAATTTTATGATTTGCTGGAAGACCTCTATGAAAAGACTGGCCTCTCCATTTTTCTATCATATTGTCATGTTTTGATTCTCGTTAGGGCACCTATTATTAGCTGACATCTTCCTGTTTATGTCCGTCATCCCCTCTATTAGAACATAAGACCTATGAGAGCAGGAACCTTTTCGTATGGTTCACCGCTATCTTCTCAGGGTTTAGAACGGTTCTTGGCATGTCATAGGGACTCAATACATACCTGTTGAATGATAAGAGCTGAGTATTGGCTACTTATTTCCTTTAGACAGGACCTATTCTCTTCAGGACTCCATAGTTCCCATTATTCCCTATTACTTCCCAGTTGAGCTTACATTGTTAATTTACTTATCTATCTGGCTGACCCCTGTACACATTTGAGTTTTCAGTCCTTGCTCATAAATGTCACTTTATCTTCAGTATTTTGAGAGCAGAGGTTTTTTTTTTGTTGTTGTTGTTTTGTTTTCTTTTTTTGAGTTGGATTCTCACTCTGTCATCCAGGCACACTCATGGCCACTGCAGCCTCCAACTGCTGGGCTCAGGTGATCCTTCCACTTCCACTTCAGCCTTTCAAGTAGTTGGAACTACAGCTGTGCGCCACCATACTCAGCTAATTTTTCTTGATATATTGTAGAGATGAGGTCTCACCAAGTTGCCCAGGCTGGTCTCGAACCCCTTAGCTCAGGCAATCCTCAGTCTCCCAAAGTACTGGGATTATAGGCATGAGCCACTGTGCCCAGCTGAGATTTTTTTTTTTTGAGTTGGGGTCTTGCTCTGTTGCCCAGGCTGGAATGCAATGCAGTGGCACAATCATAGTTCACTATAGCCTCAACCTCCTGAACTTAGGCCATCCTTTTGCCTTAGCCTCTAGAGTAGCTGGGACTACAGGCGCATGCCACAATGCCCGGCTAATTAAAAACAACTTTTTTTTTTTTTTTTGTAGAGACCAGATCTTGCTATGTTTCCTAGGTTGGTCTTGACTGTCTGGACTCAAGCAATCCTTCCACCTCAGCCTCCCAAAGTGCTGGGATTATAGGCATAAGCCACTGCACCTGGCCTGAGAGCAGAGCCTTTATATTCTATGTTTCTTTTCTTCTTTCAATGTCTTGATTATATTAGGAAGAGAAGGAATTAAATAACATTCATTAAATATTTCCTACCTGTCAAGCACAAACCTATAATTTAATTTATATTCTCACAACAATGTTTTGAGCCTGGATATTATTATTTATATCCATTTTTAGACAAGAATACTGAGGCTTAGAGTTGTTCAGACTCATATAGTAATCAAAAATCTAAGATTGGAGCTCATCTAGACAATATATATCCAGTATGAAATATCACAAAAGGGCTGAGAGTGGTGGCTCACACTTGTAATTCCAGCACTTTGGGAGGCCGAGGTGAGAGAATTACCTGAGCCCACATGTTCGAAACCAGCCTGGGCAACTTGGCGAGACCTCATCTCTACAAAAAAAAATTAGTCTGGTGTGGAGGTGTGTGCCTGTAGTTCCAGCTTCTTGGAATGATGAGGCTAAGGATTGCCTGAGCCCAGCGGGTCAAGGCTGTGGTGGCTGTGAGTGTGCCACTGCAATCCAACCTGGGTGACAGAGTGAGACTTCAACTCAAAAAAAAAAAGAAATCTCACAAAAGGGTTGCTCATGTCTGGAGAAGAGGTGACTATTTCAAGTTGCAAAGTGGAGATTGGGCAATTGGATATTTCAGGTCAAGTTTTACTTGAGCAGTTCAGCTGTTTATTTAGTTATCAATTTCTTTCCCCTGGAGAATTAGCTTGAGGTATACCTACATTTGGCTAGAAGAGGCTTTGAAGATGTTAACCGTGCCTTCTGCATGAGGGTCTGCTGTTGGCACACATTATGGAATCCAAGCAAGGAGATTTTCTGAGATAATTACTTCAATCAAACTGTCAGCTGTCACTGGATCACTGGACAAAGACAGAAACAATGCACCAAATGTGTACGACACCATCAAGCATTCTTTTAAGTAACAAAATCTTATTTTTATTTTTATTTTTTTACAGAAATTCGGATATTCCAACAAATTTCTTTACATTTCCTGGGCCTTAAAAAAATTACACACAACTTTTGGACGCAATACAACAGAACAGAATGAGAAAGGGAGTCACTTTTTCTGTTTTTAAAAAAGATAAAAACATACTTCTTATACTTAAGTAATATTTAGTGATTTACATGTGTATTACCTATGTACAAATGGTACATCATCAATGACCCATCTTCAGAGCACTGTGGTATGCTAAATTACACTTAGGTTTTATGGCAAAAACTTTTAAAAAACATTTGTATGTGGATAGGAAGTACTTTTTAATCTTTGTTTACACCACTGTTAGTGATGTAGGACTCCCAGTGAAATTTGTAATTTACATGGATTAGAGAAAGTCAATACCTTTTGTTTTTATTGTATATAATGTAGAGAGGTACCCCCCTTTCAATGAAAGATGAATTCTTGAAAAGTTGTGTGTAATTAAATTTAGTAAGTAGGGTGTAATGAATGCAGCGGGGAGTGAATACTTAAAGCAACACATAATCTCCAGAGTGACTAATACTTTAGTTACAGATACTAAGTGTTCCCTTAATTTGGTTCTTTCGGAACCATTTAAAACATAATCCTGTTTACGGTGAAAAGATGGCTAGTGCCAGAAACATTTGGCTAAAATAGGTATGTGATTCTAATAGAGGGAAGGTAAGAGAAGTTGACTCTGATCTGTATCAATTCTCGTGTTATCCTCCATTGAATATCCAGTGATATGTGTTAATTTGATCTTAATTCTGAATCTATGAATAAAAGCATTCGCTATGTCCATGTTTTCTGCTCAGGTATGGAATGTGGTTTGGCTTCCACTAAATATCCTTGCATGTACATTTTAGCTTCTGTTTATTCTTGGGCAATTGGCTATTTCAATATTAAATATTTTTCTGTTGTGGATATTGGCAGGGTGTGTGGTGAGGGTGATGGTGGGGGAAGCCTGGGAGCAAAGGGTTGTTGAAGACAACTGGTGAGTTGCAACTACTTTTAGATGTCAGCCTACTAAAAAGAATCTGAGTGCTTTTGAAACCAACATTAGTAAATAAAACAGTTACTTATCCCTACTGAGTTTCTTCGACCTGTATAAGTATATAGTCATTTATTTCTAAGGCTATTAAATTATTATTTATTTTGTCAGTACCACTTACTATCATTTAGAAATATGTTTAATGAAACGTTTTTTTAAAACAAAAATAAGTGCCTGTCAGCAAAGGAAATGAAAAAAATATGGATTTCTGATAACATGTATGGCAAAGAAATAGAAAAAATAGGAGATATTTTATATACTTATTTATAAAGTATATTAAATTCCTATGCATATACTAGGGAGAATTAGAAAAAAGTATTTATTTGATAGTAACCTATATATTACATGTGAGCATTCAAGGTAAAAATGAGATTTCTACATTTTTCAAAGTTCCTTGATGCTGTTTCCTGAAAGATAAGGGAAATCTATGTTGCTTGGGAACCTATAATGTAAAGATGTACTTCCTGTAATATACAGCTTGATGGCCTAATCGTATATGTCAGAAACACTTTGTCAGTAATAACTTGTACGGACAGATTAAACTGAACACAGACTCGGTAAAAAGTTTGAAGTGTTACATCTCTTAATAACTGAGTGGTTGTAAATAATTACACAGTGAAATAAATGAATGGTAGAGATAAAGAACCAAAGCTCACGACTCCTATGAAAACATTCAGAGGCATTTTCTAAGACGCTTCCTTAATCAATGATGCTTGACCAGCCTCTTGGTTATTGAGATAGGAATAATTTAGAACTGCCTTTTAAAAAAAATTCTGTTGAACGATTAAAGCTTTTTGTCTTCAGTGTGATTAAAAAAGGACAGTTTACAAACCTCAGTACATATATATTTTACATATTAATTCTAGAACATTTATATTCCTCTTCCTTAAAGTATTTCCTGAATGTGATTTTTTTTTCATGAATGTTATCTGATCTCATCCAATGACAGTTTCCAGTGAGCTGGTGTTCAGTTCATGATCACATCTCTTTCCGGAAAATCACTGCCGATCTAGATTTAGAAGGTGCTTTGACAAGTGAATGTTCCACTCTTGCCCATACCCATCTCTATTTTTCCATCTCTCTCAAGCGTCTTTCTTCTTGATGTTGATGTACAAAAGCTGTTATTCGATTTGTTTAGCTGTTATTCGATTTGTTTTGTGCTCATTCTAGAGAATATTGGCTTAGCAGAACTGCAGAAAGGAGAGGGAGGAGAGAGAGAAAGGGTAGGGGGAAGAGAAAAAATGCATTATTTTCTGTCTGCAAGATTTTTGTGCACAATACTTGTCATGGAAAAGCCATGTGAACAAAAGGTTCAAATGAACTTTGGATTTGTTACCAAAGAGGACTGAAAAGTTTGTGGTTTTGTTCTTTAAACCCACAGCAGAGTCTTCGCAGGAGGAGGAACATGCATAGTCCCTCCATCTGGGCCAAGATTACAGGCTGCTTTGAAGGAGTAAGGAAGAGCGTGGAAGGATCCCAAACATCATTGACTCTTTTGCCTGGCTAGCATGGAAAAATGTCTCACTTAGGTGTTTTCTGCTTCGTCCCAAGTTTTATTTATTTTATATGCAATATTGTGCAAAAGATGCTGCTATGCAGATGAATCACTTACAATTCAATCACCTTGGCACACCAATTATTTTCTTCCCATGCTTCTTTCCATTTCTTATCTAAATGTGCACTTATTGGCTGCATAGTACTCCATTTCATTCTCATTCCTTCCCACTCCATGCTCAGTATTTCATTCTCAACTATTTCACTATCGTCAGATTATAAAGGTAGGTCTTTGACTTCTTTGTTATCATCAATAATTAGCATCTTTGCATATAAAGACCTATTTGTTCTTTAACTTTTCTTCTTTAGGACAAATTTTCAGGGGATGATGCTTTTCCTTTTTTCCAATAGATTAGGGACTGTGCCCATATCAACACAACTGGACCACAAACAGTATGATCAACTCTATTCTTTAAATGATTAGCATAGATATTGGCACTGTTAACCAGGGCTTATGGGTATCTTATGTATTGTGAGGGTGGGCATCTAGCTAGTAATGATGTGGCACATTTGGGTCGAAAGGAAACAGTCTTTTAGGTTTTGCCTCAGAGGACACTTTTAACTCAAGGTAAGATCATGGTTTCTGAATCTGTGCTACAGAAACCTCTGAAAGATTCTGTTGTTGTTGTTTTCAGTATTTCCCCCTTGTTTTCCAACACACTTTAAAAAGTCTTATGCACATTATGATTTTAACGAACTTCTCTCAGCGAGAGAACTCATGGTTATTGTAATGTACCCAGACTACGCAGGGGATAATTGAAATATGATCACGCCGTAATGATGAATAGTCTATAATGATTTTCCGAGATTGAGTCATGCTGGCAGAGGCCCTACAGAAAGGAATGTTTTCTTCAGATATTATTAAAAGCAACATAAGCAGGCCAGGCACTATGGCTCATGTCTGTTTTTTTTTTAGTCGGAATCTCACTCCATCGCCCAGGTTGGAGTGCAGTGGCACACTAATGGTCACCACAGCCTCAACCTGCTGGGCTCAGGAGATCCTTCCACTTCAGCCTTCCAAGTAGCTGGAACTACAGCCGTATGCCACCACGCCCAGCTAATTTTTAAAAATTTATTGTAGAGACAAGGTCTTGCCATGTTGCCCAGGCTGGTCTCGAGCCTGTGGGCTCAGGCAGTCCTCTTGCCTCAGCCTCCCAAAGTGCTGGGATTACAGGCATGAA